TCTGTACTGTAGAAAACGCAGCACATCCGACACGGAGCAAGCAGCCGGGTCGATATGAACATCATGGCACCATTTCACAAACACTCCCCATTTTAGAGCATACAAACGCCTCGTGGACACACTCCCCGCCACACCCCCCCCCCCCCCCCCCACATATGGATGGCACGTATATGCCATCCTGGAGGAGCTTGACTACCTTTGCAACCTGATTAGGTTGGAGGTAACATCTGATATAAACATATGCCATCGGTTCGGTTTCAACTGCTTTTTTTCCCAAGTCTAAAAATGCATACTGTGTTACAAAACTACAGTGGCCTTTTGTGCTTTCACTTTCTGATAACTATGGCCGTTTCACATAAATGCACACATTGTATTTGTGTGTGAACAGCAGGATAAGATGTTCCAAGGTCTTTTCTGCCAGAAAAGTTCAGCTGAATGTACTACTCAGCAAAGCTTTCAAATCACATGCAATTTCTTCATTTTTCATTACAAAGTGTGAATTGTTATAGAATATGAGCATGACAAAAACTGTATTGTTCAAACAGGAATTGTGTGCGCTCAAAAAGAACATTGAGTTCTCAGGTGCGTAGAGCAAAAGGGAGAAAGTTTTAGTCCAACAAGTCGCTGAATTTGTCCGCACACTGAAAAAATGTTCCAATCAGACTCATGAGCACTGAAGAAAGCATGGGCTGAAAAGTCTGCTCTTTGGTCTGTTTTTAATACATTTTGCACTTTTTTCACTTTTGCATATGGATAATAAAAACTAAATTTTTGAGAGACCTTTTTTGGTCTGATTGAAAAATGTTTTCAGTGTGCGGACAAATTCAAAAACTGTATTGTTGAAATAAATTTTTCAGTTAATTGAAATCTGTATCAATAGATAGCAATAGACTACTGCAAGATGAGAGAAATGTTTCGTTGTAGTAGTTATTGGGAGACTGAATGGTCAAGGTCCATTGTGATTCATTCTTATGTAATCAAAAACATATTTATTGTTTCATACTAACATTCTTAAATAAACAAAACACCAAATTAGCAAGAATTATTTTTATTTCATGGTTATATCCCACACAGATTTCCTCTGGATTTAAAAGTTAAAAAGTGAATAAAGTAGTAATTATGGACATAAGCTATCCAATACTTTAACCAAAACAGCATTTCATCTCAAAACTCAAAAATATCAATGTGCTCATCATTTCTGATAGAACAAAACATTCACTGGCATCAATTAAAGCGAGCCTGTATTAGTAATAGTTTCATAAGAGAAATGTTTAAAATCACAAAACAATAAATAGATAAAGAAAAAGTATACATTTATGGCTAAATGGCTTTGAAGTCTTGTGTATTATAGCAGAGTAATTTCAATAACCATCCTTGTCGTCAAACTTCTTAATCTTCTTCTCTTTTCTTCCTCTGTTCCTTTGCTTTTTGTTTTGCTTTCTATGAAGATGGCACAGAATTTAGTTCTAATAATATAATACATAAACATATACACTATCATTGGTGGTATACAGTCAGTAGTAGCGTAAAAGTGATGTATATCTCACCCTTTGCCCTTCAATAATCTCTGTCCTTGCCTATCATTTGGATCCAAACACACCTTTAACCTCCTGTTAACCTCCTTTCCTTTTCCCTTTCCTTTTGCAATCACAGTCAATCTAAGATCGGCAGGAAAAGACAGAAACAAAAGCAATTGTTTTATTGCAATTGCCGGCTTGCAATTGTTAATTACAGTGCTCATTAATTATATTCAATCTCAAGAAGAAATAAAGATTTATAAACATTATCTTGTAATATAGGATTTATAGTATGCATACTTACATAATCTCTGTCTTTGAGCAAGAGGGACTTGGTGGGAACAATTCAACTGCATGAATCCATCTGGGCTTCACTGCTTTCTGCAGTTTGCCTCTGCATAAGCAGCGTTGTGATAACCCCCCTGCTTGCCCTATAACACAGTTAAGTTTAAGGACTAATGTACACAACAGATCCAGAGCAGGAAAACTATTGTTCCAAGCCAGTAATCACTGATTGGATTTACAGACAATAAACCTCATACAAACACACGAATAAGGAGATATTTGTTAAGATGCATATTGTATATGTTTAACAGAAACACTTCATTCAATCAATGACATTAACACACATCTCTGGAATACTTCATTCTGACTGGACAATCACTGCATTCTGTGGTCAAATATTTTTGTATAGCGACTGATAAACTGCAGAATTTGTCAATAAGGACAGACTGTAGATTATTCATTACAGTCCATTTAATGTTTAAAAATGTCATACTTTGATGCATATGTGTTCATATACTTTAATGAAACACGAACTGCTGATCATTTTAAGTTGTACTATTTTCTTAGTTTTGTAATGGTGTGTCAGAATGTCCTCAAAAATAAATTTTGTTCAGACACCTTCCTGGACAACAATCACCTTTAAAAAAAACTTTTTTGTAAATTAAATCATTCTTTTATACACATGTTCACAATGTGCGTTAAAGGGTTAACTAAAAGGCTTTACTAATTGTTCTGTGCATATATGATGCAAATGTAAGACAATAGACAACAGATATCAGCTTACCTGCAGACTGTGTAAGAGTCACTCCAAACACCAGAGCACACAACAGTGTGCCAACAACCTGATTCATGATTCACCTCACAGGCAGCTCCAAAGCAATGTTTCCTTCGTATGCAGTCCGCTCCTTATATAGTACAGACTTACTTTCATTTTCCAATCTTTCAATGAAATGTTCTCAACAACACATCCAACATCCTTGAGGATAAAGTTGCATGGCCGGAACAGAAATGACCACTTGTTTTAACATTGGAAAGAAATCTGCATTTAAAAGTCACTAAAGACTAGAGAAAGACAGCACAAAGAACACATCATCATTATTATTAATATTTATTTCTTTTGCTTTAGGCAAGAAGAAAGAATACATTTTTTGCCAGTCAGAATAAACCTTTTCTAACCCTAGCTTTTAGAAGTGAGTGTTGTATTAACAAGGTCTTATAGTCAAACATTAACGTTCACCACCATCAAATTAATGATAAAAACATGTGCTTAGCAATTGATTGGTTACTTAGTTAGTAACGTTTGCCTTTTGGGAAGAGACTGTATTTCCTCAGAGTATTTAATTGTGTTGAACTTAACTTGACTGTGCAGAGAACATATGGCGGCAATTCTATGCCATTAATTATGGGAAGCAAAACAACCCAAATGTGGGACGAAACGGAGCGGTATTCAATGTCGACCGACTCGACAGCGCAGAGAGGACGTGTTTACTAGCGCCACCGAGCTGACAACGCGGCGCGGATCAGTTACAAAAGCGCATATAACTGAAAGCATTTTTGTATTAATGCACTGTATATCAAACACCACTTCAGCCAGACGTATATGTTTTTCGTACATCCAGAGACATTACATACTGTATGAGACATCAAATTAATAACAACAAGGTCCAGTGTTTGGACAAAGATTAGTGATCAGTAATAGAATAAATATGTACTCTATAATCATGTAGTAACATGTATGCTTTCATTTAATATTCTACATTCATTGAATTTCTGAAAGCAAAATGATACAATGTAAAAATGTGAGATTTGAGAAGGTTGAAGATTTCCTGCATCTCAAAAGAAGGTCACAGTCATAAGATGTGGCCTCTTTGTTTTCTTTTCTGTTCCTTTCTTGTGAAGATAAGGGAAAATTCAGTTCAGTCCCTGTGCCAAGGTTATTGAGGGGAGTGGATGGCTTAAGAACTGAACTGAAACTGGCACTGCGATGAAATGGACAGAATGGTTCTGAATTAACTCTAGAAATGAGCTGGCTTAGAAGTGAGAAATATAGAACTGTATTTATACAATACTTCAAATTAGGGAGCTGCAAAAATGAATGCGTGTGATTAGTCTGAAGCAGGGTTAGTGTTAAGATCCAGGCAGAAAAATGTGTAACAAAATTCTGTTTAACAAAACCAAAAGGGTAAATCTGATACAGTATGTGTATGCCAACACAAACAGGCAGTGTCATTGAGTAAACTAAGCAAACAAGCCAATAAACGTAACCCCAGGAATCAAGGACAATGGAACAAAATACAACCAAAATAAATTCCTTGTACATTGTATATTAATACATGACAAATAGAATCTGTGTTCCAACTAATGCAATAGTTCTAATACTAGGAAAGGGTAGCAAATACTTATACCTATTTATGATTAGATCTATATATTTAGAACAAAGACTATAGAAATATCTGGACAAGTTACTAAATTGTGACAGGACTTAGAACCAAAATAATGCCGATGGCGCTCTCTAGTGGTGAATCTACATATTTGTAAAAATGAGCTATGGTGAAGTTATTTGACGTTCATGAGAAATTAGCCTATAGTGTTCCCACCCTGTTAACTTTTCTGCATGCCCTCATCATTTATTTTTGCTACTTTATACCCTGGTTCCAGATCCAGACCTTCTATAAACTATAATGGTGTTAACAAACGTGAAATAAACATTTTGCACACAATTTTAATGTGATTTTACCCCAATTTGTTGAACAAATATGTGAAATATTATTTAATTCTGTGCAGTTAGGAGAATATATAAAATGCTAGCAAAGCAAAGCAAAGGAGAAAACCACTGTATTGCCCAAATTTTAAAAATGTCACATAATCTATGGTAGAAATAACACTGTTGGTAAGTTTCATGAGTTTTAGTTAATGACCGATTTTCTTGTGGTGCATACATGTCCACTGTTTAGTAGACAGTTAAACAAATTAGAAGCATGTAAAGTGCATTTAAAGTGAAAATCAAGTTTTTTTAATGTCGTTTATTTGTCTATGTGCGTTTATTGACGAACCATGTGCCAATCCAATAATCAACACCATTGCTGAGTATTTTCTCCTTAAAAGTGTAGTTTCCCAAAGGCTGACCCAGAAATGTGGTTTGAAACAGCCCTAGGTTTGCTACGTCACAAACCAATAACCAATCACGTCAAGGGATCGATTCCTATCACTAGCATGCAAAATATACCAATACCAGAAAACCAAATTTAGAACTGCTAACTTGCATTATAACCCGCGGCAACAGTGTAAAAGTAGCCCGGAGTCAGATGCACCTCTCCCGCATCGGCACTTCACATGCCTAGTATGTATGCTGGCGGGCGCGAATTATCAATCACAAACGGCTGCATTGGAGTCTTCAAGGCATTTTAGGACACAACATCGTCAAGTAAGTAACTTTAACGAATGTTACAGTAGTCACTGTAGTTGTCCGCTAGTAAAAACATAGTTTTATCAGTCATTATCCGTGTATGCCATTGTTTTGCG